CACAACAAGCATAGTTTGGTATCTTGTACAAAGAAATAGAATGTATAAAGATAATATGACATTTCTTTTTTGGCTTTTATTAAAAAATAGCAATTATAATATTAAATGGACTACACTGTAGTGAACAACCCAGTTTAATAAATATACTAAAAATTTATAAACTATTATCGATTGAAATCACTCTCATAATAATTCAAATGAGGCAATTTGATTGGCTAGGCAAGTTCTTGGGCATTATTAAATCAGACAGAAATTAGAACAGTCTACATCACTGTATGACCTCATACAATGTTGTTTATATATTTATAAATATTTAGCTTAAAAGTTATAGAATAGATAATTGACTACCTCATCTGTTCCATTCAACATTCATGTGATATGTGACATATTTCAGAAGTCATGTTTATTTCTGAATGTAAATTTATTTTGAATCTATTGGTATATGTGATGCATTGGAAAAAATGCCAATAACAGAACTTTATCTTCACATAGAAAAAGGCTGCATTCCCTCAAGGTTCACTTTGTAAAACTTTGGTCTGGAAATAATGTTTTTAAATTCCTAAGATTACTGTGACCATTAATGTACAATTGTAGCTTGAGTGATGCCCCATCCCTATATACATGTATGTCATTTGTCTCGTTCACCTTGATTACATGGTCTGGTAAGTCTGAAACAGTGGTATGCAATGTATAAAGTAAAAGTGTCTTTTCCTGCTCAGTGAAATTGCTGTATATTGGTAGACATATTTAAATTTAGTATTCTGGTGTTTAGAAGTTTATAAGTAGTTTTATCTTGAAATGTCGCACTGTGGAGATGCAACCAGGTTGTGAAGTAGAACGTTGTGTTGATTTTTCTGCCATGAGCCATTTCAGCTCATTTGCATTTAAATGTTAAGGCGATTGTTATGTAAATGATGTAAGCAGGTGTGTTGAAGTAGCATTGTGAAAATGGCATTAGTGAAAGCTGTTGCTACTACAAAAGGATAATGTTGCCTACTAACGTGACTCCGATCACTGTGAATTAAGATTGAAACTCACAACAATAGGAAAAATAACAATGCAACAGCAAAACGTGGCTTGCCTAAGACCCTATGACCTATGTGTAGTTATGTATTTGTAACTCGGTGTCGTTGTATGTCTAAGATGAGTGCATGATCAGATTACTACCACACCTATGAGCCATTACAGCTTGACATGAGATACTACAAATCCTACACTTGTAATTAAACCACATTTGTGTAATGTACTCTTCTCATAATCTTATGAATATGAGGCTTCAACATTAGAGATTCATAGACATATGTCACGCATGTATAAAAAGCAGGCAACCGTTAAGTTCTCTTTGCAATTAAATTTTATTAATTTAAGCTTTAACTACTGTAAGTACTAAATGTACTACTGCATTTTTTTTTTACTACACAACCATGGGATACCCTTCATGTAATATTGATCTCTTTCTGTAGAGATAAAGGACTTTAATAAGTTAATTTAAGTTAATTTTGAATCCAAGCAAAAATAGGTTAAAATTGTAAATAACTGTTTTAT